GTGTTTAAGGGACCCAGGTGCACAGACTTCTGGTGTTCCATCAAGATCTCCGTGTCAAAGAGTGCCTGGGCGGAGTCCATGGAGAGGTAGGTGACCCATAGGGTGAGGGTATCAGCATGTACTGGGTGCTGGAAGAGCAGCTCCAGGCTACAACCTTCTGCAGGACAGGGGACTGTCATGTTCATATGGTACAGGTGGAGCTCGGGACTCCAGGCTTGCAAGCTCGGCTCGCAGGGCTGGTCTACATCTGGAGGCCCTGGGGGGGTGGGGGGTGGGGATGAACAGAAAAATACATCAGGTACTGGAAATACATCACTGGAAATCTGAAAATACATAGCCCTTCTCAGTTGCCAGAAAAAGCTATCAAAAAGGAGATACTTTTGATCATAGGAACCTCAAAGTTGTTGTTCAGCTGAGTGAGTGAAATCTTAAGTGCAACTGACCAAGTTGTAACCATGCTCGTGTGACCGTCTCACCTCTATCTGGTGGAAATCTGGCAAATCGTTGGAAATGGGTAACACAGATCCTAGGCAAAACACCAGGTGGATGCAGAGTAGTTGAGTAATATCCTTAGAGAATCTTTGAGCAGAGGATATTTGTACTTAGGTTATTAATAATGTATATAAAAGCAATGCATCTGGAACCCTGTTTTATTTATTAATATGGAAACTGTTAATTTCAGCCAGTCAATGCACTCTTTGTTTAAGCAAAGGTTGTTCATAAAACCTCTTTGGTTCCCTAAGATCCCATGTTGCCAGTCCCTCCAATTGACTGCTAGCCAAACCTTAACACCATACATTGAATTTCCATTTCAGTTGAAGTATGTATGAGCAGGTATGCAACTGAAGGCAGGAAATATAAGCATACATTATTGAGGGGGAACAAATGGAGATTCCGGAGCCAAGTGGAAGTATAATCAGCAGGGTAAAAACTCACAAGTAAATTATGGCCTGCTCTATAGGAATAATCCAAGAAGGTGGTTCTCTTTTATATCACAGGGGGAGAATCAAAGAGTGCTGAATAAGCAGTCAACAGAGTTGGCTTCTAGTTGCCATCATGCCGTTAGGTGTGAAACAAGTGACATATTCGCCTTTTATTGAATAGGCAATAATATGCAATCACTATCAGTAGACAGCATATAGGTTGGCATGAGAGCTCTATATATCATTAAATAGAAATTAAGTTTTGCCATTTTCAATAGAATTATTTAGTCCATAAGAATATAGAAAATAGCCACCCAAATAGACTTCAGGCTAGGAGGGGCAGCCCCTGGAACTCCCTCAGGACCAGCGGGGAGAGATTCATAAAGGCCAGTGAACAGACTGGAACTACTTGTTTCTTTTTCTTCCTTTTCATTTTTCAACTTTTTGTTTTCTCATTGTTTTGACTAGGATATTGCTGGTTTGTCTACTTATATGAGACAGACATAGGAAGCAAGCTCAGGGAGAAATCAACGGGGCCAATGACCCCAGAGGGTCTTGGGGGCAGACAGTGGTGGAGGGGTGGGTGTTGTGAGCAAACAACGCCATAGATAGGGGAACAACTAGGGAATTAAAACAACATCTAGGAGGTTATAGAGATCCTGTGGGTATTAGAGTAACACCAATCTAGCTGAGAGGAAGTACTAAGAGGTGGAAGAAGGGGGAATGTGATGGTGGGGCAGGAGGAAGCTAAAGGAAACAGAGGAAGCCTCTAGGAAGCAAAGCTATAGAGAGAGATATTAACAGAGGTGTGTACTTATGTTAATGCATAA